TCATGATCATCTCGGGACAGAATATAAAGCCACGGTACCTTAGCAAGCTCGGCCCGAAGCTCTTCTTCCTCCACCTCTGTCAGGCCTTCTACAGCTGGAGTCCGGTGGACCACACCTGGGTCAACAGGGACATCAGTCATAAAATCAGACAGCACACCTTTGTTAGGAGAATTCAGGTTGATATCTGCCAGAGACAAAAATGAGGTCAAAAAGTGTCAAGTAGGTTATTACTCTACTAGGAAAGTAGAAAGAAGGAAGTGGGTGGCCAAAGGAGGGCAGGAAAACATAGAGACTAGATTATCTCTAAAAGCCTATGATGACTGTCTGCACAGTAGATGGAGAACAGCTATTTCTTGGGCACATGAGATGTAAACCCAATATCACCATGTGCTGCTGGAGTACAAGAAACACTAGCTAAGTCAGCCAAACCTTAGGTTCTGTTTCACTTGTGAAAATACTATCTTCTACTGTAAGGACACCCCGCTTAAAAAAAAAAAAAAAGGGCTGGTGAGATGGCTCAGCAGCTAAGAGCACTGACTGCTCTTCTAGAGGTCATGAGTTCAAATCCCAGCAACCACATGGTGGCTCACGACCATCTACAATGAGATCGATGCCCTCATATGGGTGTCTGAAGACAGCTACAGTGTACTTACATATAATAAATAAATAAATCTTTAAAAAAAAAAAAAAAAGTAGTCCAGGGAGCTGGAGAGATGGCTTAGCAGAGGCCATGGAAGAATGCTGCTTTTACTGGGTTCCTTAGTCTGCTTTCTGATACCATCAGAACCACTTGCACAGGGGTGGCAGCGAGCTGCGATCTCCCACATCAATCATCAATCAAGAAAATGCCTACAGGCCAGTCCTATGGAAGTTATTTTTCTAATTAAGATTCCTTGTTCCCAAAGGGCAGTGATGGTGCACACCTTTAATCCAGCACTTGGGAGGCAGAGGCAAGTGGTTATGGTTATCTGTAAGTTCCAGGCTAGCCTGGTCTACAGAGCTAGTTCCAGGACAACCAAGAATATACAAAGAAATCCTATCTGGAAAAAAAAAATTAATTAAAATTCTTTCTTCCTACATTGACTGTAATTTGTGTCAAGTTGACATAAAAACTAACCAGCACACAGAATACCAAGTTTTATGTGACCTGACTGGAAAATAAACTATCTTTAATATCTGGTGATGATGCCAGTGGTTTCAAATTCATCCTCTCTCTCTTCCCCTCTCTCCTTTCCTTTTTATTGTGATGCCAGGCTAGAACCACAGCCTCACACATAATAGAGAAAGGCCTTTACCACTGTTGTGTAATAGTTTCCTCCGAGATGAAAACATTCCATCCAGCAGGGAAAGCTTCTTGAGCAGAAAGCTAAACAATTCAAAATAGCTTCAGGACATCCCCAAAACTAACTAGATTCACTATGCCCCTCCCAGCTAGAGACAACAATAAAAGCCGAGAGTCCCTCACAATGTGAAACTGAGCTGCAAAGACTCAGAAGAGAAAGGTTGCAAAAATAAGTTTTGAGACCAGAACAGCTACCCGGGAGAAGCAGATACCAGGGGCGGTTGCTTGGAAGAGGTAAATCTCTTTATAACTGAGACTCCTGGAAAGGACACTCTCCAACCTGTTGAGCTGCCTGAAAACTCTGTATTGTGTTCAAGGTTCTCAACTTTGTGAACTATCACCTTGGGGTAGGCTTTGCTGTTGCAGCTGTCTTTTGGGTCATTTCTGCTCCTCTAAGTAACCCCAATAAAACACATTGGTTCACCAAAGTGGACTTTGGTGGTATTTGTACCTTTGATCTGTTCTGAGTTTCCTATCTGGGGTGAGTAGACAGACAAGTGTGTTGCATCTCCCAGGAACATTTTGTCACATAACAATGGCTGAGCCACATCCTTAGCAGTATCATTCCAGAGACCAGTATCTACTGCTTAGAGATGAAAATACAACGGTAGACAGCTTTCTAAATTTGCAAATTCCCTTCAAAGTAGAAAAAAATCCAGAGCCGGGCAGTGGTGGCACACACCTTTAATCCTAGCACTTAGGAGGGAGAGGCAGGTGGATTTCTGAGTTCGAGGCCAGCCTGGTCCACAGAGTGAGTTCCAGGACAGCCAGGGCTACACAGAGGACCCCCCCCCAAAAAAAATCCAGAATGTATAAAAACCCAGAAATTCTAATGGTTAGGTAATGTGTTGGTGCAGGCCAAACAGTAGAAAAGCTTTTTGAACTTAGCCCGTGTAGTTAGTTAAGTAAGAATCCCCAGTTGTACCACCTTCTCAAGATTTTAATCTCCTGAGCCTAGGCCACACTTCTCCGTAGCAACCTCATACTGGTCTCAGGTGTCTGTTTTGGCAACAGATCTGGTGTTCTGGGTGTGCCCCTGACTCATTCAACCCTTCTCCCATGAGACAACCTCTAAGTAGGCTGCAGTAGCGTTACCACCCAAGAGGCACTGCTCTAAACATAAGGATGGTCGCACCGCCCCTTCCCTGTAGGGAGCCGCCCACAACGTCTCCTCTGGAGCCCAGCGCCAGATGTGGTATTCCTCACTGCCCAGCGAAAGATAAAGAGCTGCAGAGCCAGCAAGAGTTGGACAGAAGGTGAAGCGCATAAGAAATGTCTGGAGTTATGAAACTCTAGAAACTGAGAAGGAGCCGAGGAATGCGGCTTCACAGTACTCCCAAAGGAGGCTGAGGTGCCGTGGCAAGGCAGAAGCACACACAGCAAGACCATCAGGAGCCTTGAGGTCAAGGGCCTGTTGGCCGAAGAGAAACCGTGGATGGCTCTGGCAGAGACTGAAGGGGACCGAGGGGCCGAGTCGCGACTACCGGAGGGCGGGAATGCGGCACAGTCCCTGCCCATCTGTGGGTACCTTGGCTAGCAGAGTCCATGTTCAAGCGGCAGCTGGGTGTAGCTGGCGTCGGTGCTGGGATCGCAGGTACTACAGGAGCCCAGCCCTGAGAACTGCAAGCTGGCAGCTTCGTACACACGAACCAGTGGAACTGTAGGGCCGCAGTCGTTTACGTAATCAGCGACGCGCCGCCTTCCTTCCGCTCGGGTTCGTACTCCGCCTTCTTCCCGCCCTCGGTGTAGTAAGTCCAATAAGAACGTTCTCTGGCCCCACCTAAGACTAATCTTTCAATTTGATTGGTCAGACTACAGCGCAGCAGGAAGCAATGCTTCTAGTCTGGTTCCACAGTTAGATTCCAGGGTAAAAAGGGCAGAACAGCTGAAGCTCGAGGGTTGGCGCAGATTGTGTTACAGTTCGCTGACTTCCCATGTTAGCCTCGGCTGTCCACAAGACTTTCGACCTTGCACCTCGACGGGTCAAACTCAGGCCCGTGCAATCTCCAGTCAACCTCTCCCCAACCCCTGTAAATTTGAGGCAGGTTGCCTGCAGCAAAGGACGACCTTGAATTTACTATGATCCTCCTGCGTCCACTTACCTAGTGCTAGGATTACACGAGTAAGTCATCACAGCTGGTTTATACCGTATTGGGGATCGAGAATTCAGAACTTGATGCATGCTGGGCAAACACTGTACCAATTAACTTGTTTTTGCAGCCTCTATATAGAGACTTTTTATTGTCTAGGAAGTGCACTAAAAATGAAGAGAGTGCGATTCGTCCTCTTGCCCTCCAGGTGCCGCTCTCTCCAGCTGTATTCCTACACTAATAGGCCAGCTGTTTTGGGGCTGTTGGGCGGCTTGCATTCTAGTATTGGAAGAGTTCACACAGCACTGAACACCTCAGGGGCCTCCCAATAACTGAAACCCAGCCCGGTGTAAGCACCCCAGTGTTTTCTCACTTTCTTTTCACAGCAACAGGTGAGCCAGCACTGGTGCCCACTCCCAGTTTACAGATGAGCAAATTGAGGCTAAAGTAGTTTTCCAAAGATCACTCTAGAGCTTTGAGGGCCTTATGGTTTTAGTGTGTCAATACTGACAGGAGAACAAGAATCTCCCTGACTCCAAATGAGGGAGTCGTGACCATTGGGCAACTCTGCGAAAAACAAGCCTTACAATTTTTTGGCCCTTAATTATTTTCTGGAAGAAAAAAATCCTTAAGTGATATCCCCCCTATTTCAGAATTGTCCCACTTACAAGATTTCTGGGGCTGGATAAATGGCTCAGTGGTTAAGAGCACTGACTGATCTTCCAGAGGTTCTGAGTAACCAATTCCCAGCAACCACTTCGTGGCTCACAACCATCTGTAATGGGATCTGATGCCCTCTTCTGATCTGTCTAAAGACAGCTACAGTATACTCATATACATAAAATAATAATTCTTTAAAAAAAGATTGTATTTTCCTCTCCAGCTAGGCCCCATTGAGTACTACTAGTTCCTGGAATCTTCCCACTACCTGTCTCTTCTCTGGTTCTTCTCCCTACAGATGTCTTCTTGCATAGAACTAGGTGCTTCATTGACTGTGACAGCGTACTGTTCAAGGCTGTCCATTAATATATCATCTCCATTTACCATCTTGCTTAACCCAGCCTGGTCAGCCCTTATCCACAAGGCTGGAAATGATAAGAGCAGTAGTCCCTTCTTCATATCGTAAGTGACCACAGTGCAGACAGTGGAGAGCTGAACACCTGTCATTCAGTTTGCATTCTTGAGCCATGAACAAAGCCCAGACCTAGCCCAGATCTGGCCCAAGATGTAACAAGTGGGCAACATTAGCACCCAGTAATAATCTCTAGGACCCAAGCCACCCTGTGCCCTGTTAATATAGGTCTGCAGTCCTGTTAATATAGGTCTGCAGTCCTTCTGTAAATCTCCCCTCCATAAATACAGAAATGAGAAGGGGTTACTGCACAGAAGCAACTGCTGAGATCTTCAAGGAATGAGACCCTACTGTGCCAGGAGTCTCCTTTCACTGGGAACTACTTGAATCTCAGGAGCTACCCTACAGCCCAAGCCATGTAAAAGGCACTTCCCTGTCACCCCACAACCTCCCATGGTCTCCCAGGATCAAACACCACACATTACCATAAATTGGATCAGGTTCATCTTTACATTGCCTTTGAGAATTAGGCACAGACATTCAGATGTTTTTAAGGAAGAGAAAGGGTGCAAGCAGGAAAGAACAAAGTGAAGGAAGATATACTGCCCACACTCCCAGACACCAAGATCCCCAGCAGGGCCAGCTTTTCTGTAGAGATGTAAGGAGAGGAACAGCTGGGGGGAGCTAGAAAGTGTACAAATGCCCAGATACACGAGTCACATAAACAGTGGCTACAGTCTCCAGGGCAATTGGAAGTCCTCAGGCTCCAGTGGACTGCAGTGAGTTGCCTCCAGGTTCTTGAGGTGCCTGCGTGCCAAGAACAGTGCAAGCTGCCGGCGCCGCCGAGCACTCAGACCTTGGCCCACGAGCCAGGGGAAGGAAGGTCCATGTGGCCCCCAGGCCTCAGTATCATCCATCTCCTTCCGGCGGCTCTCACGATAAGAACGAAGTGTGGCCAAGCACCACTCATCATCAACACGGCAGCGTGCATATAATGCAGTTTCTTGAGCCAAGTTGCTGGCACGTAGCCAGCGGGTTACCACTGTGCGGCCCTCGCGGGCCATCACAGAGGGGTATCTGTGCTGCAGAAGACGCAACAGCAGCTCATTGCCACGGTTACCTTCCACATCGCCCTCCACTTGGCAAGATGACAGCGTGGGAATATGGCTCGAAGTGCTGACAACATCATCTTGTGTACGTCTGAGCAAAAGTACTGGGCCTGGGTAGCAGCACAGCTGCTCAGCAACATTGAGATTGAAGTGCTCCCGTACAGTGCGTACTACCAGCCCCTTCCAACTCTGGGGCATAACCTTCAGCGCTAGTGGCACAAGATCATCAAAGGTGGCATCCAGCACCAGTGCACCCAGTTCTGGATAAGTCATGGTGGCCCAAGTGGCTGTGAAGCCTCCTATAGACCAGCCATAAACCACCACATGTGCTGGCGGGAAGTTCAGGCGGTGCAGCGCGTATTTGACTACCACATCCATTGCATTTGCATCATGTTGTGGAAAAGGTGCACCTGTGCTGCCCCCAAAGCCAGGGTGGTTCCAGCCTAGCACGGAGTATCCAGCCTCCAGAGGTGCAGACAGGCAGCCCATCTCGTAGAAGCCAGCATTCCCTTCACAGCATATAACCAGGCACAGGCCACGGCCATGTCTGCCAGGATGCTGACGACGATCCATGAACATGGTGTCAATCTCATTGCCATCACAGGCCACCAACTTGGCACGCCGCCCACGGTAGCGATCCACTAGTCGCTCCTGGCCCTGCTGCAGTAGAGGCTGTAGTGCGCGTGTCATCAAGAACATAGAACCGGGGTATACAAGCCAGCGGCCCAGTGAGTGGGCCAGTGCATAGCTAGCAAGCTGGCTAGGCAGCTCACGGATCTGCTGGAGGAGGCACTGAACTTGACTCCGAGCTCCACGTGGAGGACTTGTGAGTGTGTCCTCGCCCAGCGCCGCATCTTGTAGCAGCCACACACCTGCGGCAGCTGCAGCACAGGTCAACGCACGATGACTGCTATTACCAGTGCCTGGGGCGTTCAGGTCATCCCAGCGGAAGTCCACCGGCCAGCTGCGGAAGTTGTAACTGTAGTTTGCTGTCAAGTAGATCTTGAACACGTGCACTAGTGCCTTCACAAAGCAGATGACACACATGGGCACTGAAGCTCTGTGCTGTTCCCTGAAGGCCCAGTCCTAGTTATGGAATGACAGAAGGAGATGCAGGCCTGGCCCAGCCGGTGGCTGTGGAGGCAGGGGCCATGCCCAGCACTCTGATGGCATGCCTCCTCTTGGTAGGTCCCAATGGCCTTTGTGACCTGTACCTTCCAGGGCCAAGGGAAGGCTGTGTGGCTCTCAGTTTTGTGAGTCATTGTTGCTGGGAGAGGTGATGCTATGGTGACAGGCTCACAAAGGGTTCTAAGGCTTGGTGTAACTCTAGTTCTGTCCCACCCACCTAGGAAAGTGCCTTAGGACCTCACAGCAGCTTCCTACCATGTTTCCACCACCTTGAGCAGCTCTCACCTCCTCCACTGAAGGTAGGCAACCAAAGAGGCCAGAAATAAATCACCTTGACTTCTTTCTTATTGGGGGGAAGACAGTAAAAGAAAAGGGATTTCCCATACCTGAGCCAAACTTGTAGTTGGTAATACTCCCTTATCACCTCCTTGGACTTTGAGGTTCATTGGTTTACATTTCCCAGAAAATATCTAGGATAGAACAGAGCTGTTGTTGGAGTCAGAAGGTGTATTTGGCTTATAGCCCGATTCCCATAGCACACACACATACACACACACACGAACACTTTTTCTGAATCATTTTTCACTGGGGCAACAACAGCAATCACCTCCTGGTGGGCCCTACCTAGCTGTAGTTCCTCTTTTTTCAACCCCTAGTTGAGCATCTCTCTTTCCCACTTGAACCAATTCACAAACTGTACTTTCCTCTTTTTAGAGGGTTCCAGTGGGTGGGTTCCCCTTTTTCTCCTGCACTAATGATGGCCAGCCTACTAATGATGGTCAAACAGCTGGAGAGCAGTATACTGCAGCACTTGGGAACTAATTGAGCAGTGGTCCAGACCTGAAACAAATTCTAAAAGCAATGGAATACAGCCAGATCCCTTGGGTCCATGGACTGGGCCTACTTGGCAGACCTCAGGCTTTTAGGTAAGGTGGTTTCCAGGCTCTAGCAACCAGCCTCTGCTTTCCTGTTCTACTTTCCAGTTAAGGAACTGTCTCAAGCAGCTCCACAGCACTGTTCACAGAGGAGACGGAGGAGAAGGATTACAGTAGTGGTTTGAATAAGTATGTCCCCCATCCCCCATAGACTGGTGTTTGAATGCCTGGCCCGAGGGAGTGGCACTACTAGGAGTCATGGCCTAGTTGGAGTAGGTGTGGCCTTGTTGGAGGAAGTGTGTCACTGTGGGAACCAGCTTTGAGGTCTCAATATGTTCAAGCTATGCCCAATGTGGCACACAGTCTCCTCCGGCTATCTGTGGATCAAGATGTAGAACTCTCAGTTACCTGTGCAGCACCTTGCTTGCCTGCATGCCACCATGCTTTCTGCCATGATGATAATGGACTAAACCTCTGATTTGTAAGCCAGTCCCCAAATTAAATATTTTCCTTTATAAGAATTGCTGTGGTTATGGTGTCTTCTTAGTCAGGGTTTCTACTCCTGTTCAAACATCATGACCAAGAAGCAAGTTGAAGAGGTAAGGATTTATTCAGCTTACACTTCCACGTTGCTGTTCATCACCAAAGGAAGTCAAGACTGGAACTCAAGCAGGTCAGGAATGAGGAGCTGATGCAGAGGCTATGGAGGGATGTTATTTACTGGCTTGCTTCTACTGGCTTGCTCAGCTTTCTTTCTTATAGAGTGCAGACAGCCGGGCGGTGGTGGTGCACACCTTTAATCCCAGCACTTGGGAGGCAGAGACAGGCGGATTTCTGAGTTCGAGGCCAGCCTGGTCTACAGAGTGAGTTCCAGGACAGCCAGAACCACACAGAGAAACCCTGTCTCGAAAAACAAAACAAAACAAAACAAAACAAAAAAAGAATCCAGAACTACCAGCCCAGGGATGGCACCACCCACAATAGGCCCTACCACCCTTGATCACTAATTGAGAAAATGGCTTACAGCTGTATCTCATGGAGGCATTTCCTCAAGGGAGGCTCCTTTCTCAGTGATAACTCCAGCTTGTGTCAAGTTGACACACAAAACCAGCCAGTACAGTGTCTCTTCACAGCAATGATTTGGAGATGGTATTTTCCACCCCATCCCAAACACAAATAAAATACCTAATGTCCACTTAAAGCTGAATAAAACTGTGTCTCTGTATGGGTATGGGTGTGTCTGTGTGTGTTTATTTATTTGAGGACAGGGTCTCACTGTGTGGTTCCAGCTGGCCTGTTTCAGCTATGAGTGCTTGGATTCTAGTGTGGTCTCCATGACTTTACAGTGGTACAGAGTATATACAGTATATGCTAAAATACATGAGGTAGTTAACACTTTGTTGTAAAAATAGACTTTCTGTTCAATGATTTGCCCAACTATTGGCTCATATAAGTATTCTGAGTATACTTAAAATAGGTTGGACTAAGCTGTGGTGCTCAGTATGTTAGGTGTATTATATTTTTATTAAATTTACGTGTGTGTGTGTGTGTGTGTGTGTGCCCACGCGCGTGTGCACAAGTGCACATGCTACTCCATACATGTAGAGGTCAGATGACAACTATGGACATTGCTGGCCTTTTTCTACCACATAGGTACAAGGGATTGAAACTCAGATTGTCAAGTTTGGCAGCAAGCACCAGTACCTTATGAGCATTCTTGCCAGCCCTTAAATATGTTATTAATAAGAAATTTTTTGGTTTATAAGCTAGGAATGGTGGTGATCCATGTCTTTAATTCCAGCACTCAGGAGGCAGAGACAGGTGGATCTCTGGGTTAGAGGTCACCCCGATATATAGAGTGAGATCCAGAACAGATAGGGTTACAAAGAGAAATCTGGTCTCAAAAAAACAAAACAAAACAAAATGTTTTCTTTCATATGAGTGTTTTGCCTGTATGTATGTATGTATGTATGTATGTATGAATGTATGTATCTGTGTATGTATATAGTATGTATGTATGTATGTATGTATGTATGCCATGTATATACCCAATACCCACAGAGGTCAGAAGAAGGCATTGGATCCCTTGGAACTGGGGTTACAGATAGCAAAAGGTTGTCAGTCACCATGTGGATGCTGGGAACATCTTCTGAATCCTCTCCTGCTAAGCCATCTCTTTATAGCTACCGTTAGATACTTTTTAAAAAGATTTATTTATTTTATTTATATGAGAACACTGTAGCTGTTTTCAGACACACCAGAAGAGGGCATCGGATCTCATTATAGATGGCTGTGAACCACCATGTGGTTGCTGGGAATTGAACTCAGGACCTCTGGCAGAACAGTCAGTGCTCTTAACTGCTGAGCCATCTCTCCAGCCCCCTAAATACTTCTTTTTTGAGACAGGGTTTCACTACATAGTCATTGGCAGTCTTAGACCTGGTTGGCCTCCAACTCTCACAATGGTGCTCATCTGTATCCCAAGACTTGGGAAACTGAAACAGGAGGATTGCTAAAAGTTTAAGACCAGTATGGTCTACATGGGGAGTTCCAGGCCAGCCAGGGATATAGAGGGAGACCCTTGCCTCACTTCTCCCCTCAAAAAAAAAAAAAAAAAAAAAGGAAAAAGAAATATTTACGACATATATGTAACACCATCATAAATCAAAGAATATCTATGGTTTTAAAATTGCTTGTCTCGGGGTTGGAGACATGGCTCAGCCATTAAAAGCACTGATGGATCTCCTAGAGGTCCTGAATTCAATTCCTAGCAACTATATGGTGGCTCACAACCATCTGTAATAGGATCCAGTGCTCTCTTCTGGAGTGTCTGAAGACAGTGACAGTGTACTATCAATATATAAAATAAAAAGAGCTAAAAAAATGTTTATCTGGAGTTTTTTGGGGGAGGGAAGGGAGTTGGTTTTTTGAAACAAGAGTTTCTCTATGTAGCCCTGGTTGTACTGAAACTCATTCTGTAGTCCAGGCTGGCTTCAAACTCAAGAGATCTGCTTGTCTCTGCTTCCGCTAAAGGTGTACACCAATCTAGGTTTGTTTTTCTAAATTTGGCAGTTCTGCCCCAGATGCATATACACCCAGCTCCAAGACCCAGATTCCAGTTTGATTTCTCTGCTCACTAGTCAGATCTGAGGTCTAGGGTGTGTCTTACGGTTCATCAACCTCCTTTCCTGAAATCCTGGGTTACAGCAGTCCTAGAAAGACCCCACTGGGAACCTCACCTTTAGTCAAGTGGTTGACAGTGTCCTGAAAATATTTGTGGTCCTTACGCCCCTGAAATGACCACCTCTGGCCCCGTGGGGGAAAAAAGTAGTTTAGGATGAAGGTGAAAACTTTAGGGAAGGTGGGCCATTCACTCTCCAGAAACTTCTCATAAACTGATGTTAACTGCCTTGAGGACCAAGGCATCAGATTCATTTTGTGTGAGACATAGGAGTGACTTCTATATCAAAAGAGAATGAATGTCCCTGCCTCTTCAGCCAGGTCCAAGCAACTGGTGAAGAAGATTCTTTGAGGATTTGGAAGCTGTAGACCCTGCAGATAAAGTAGCCTCAGTGGCAGTGGCAATGTCCTGAAAGACAGTCTACATGCACAGCCTTTTATTACTGAAGGCAATCTCCCAGCTTGATCTGCTCTGAGACTTTTGAAAGCAGAAGATATTCTTCAGCCAAGCCCACCTGCCCTTACTTTGCCCCTGTAAAAAGAAGGAAGCAATTGGGAGAGCTAGAGACCAGATTTTGAAGGGTAGAGGTCAGTGAACTGGAGCCACTAGTCCCCAGGGACTCCAAGCCTTAGTGTGTGTCTGGCCTGGTCCTTGACCCCACCAGTCCAAAGGAGCTCAAGTACCCCAGAACCACCAGCTTTGGTCAGAGAGGAAAGCATGTGACAAGAAGAGAGCCGTCCTCTACTGAAGAGCCCCCCTGACTGGACCAGCTGCAGCCGCAGCACAAACAGCAGTAAGCAGGGTCCTTTTGCCTTCAGTGGCCTCTGTTTACAGCGGTGTAACTGGGTGGGGATGGGGGATGGGACTCTGTCATGGCTTATCAGTTTATGGAAGAATCCTTGCCACCCACTCTTTCCAAGGAGACATCTGAATGTGCACCATACCCCCACACTCCACCCCCACTAAGGCCTGCTAGTCCAGGACGTTCCCCTTCCCCCACTGAAGCAGTGTTTCCTCTCTGGCCAGTTCTGTTCACCTCCCTAGAGGCTCTTGATTTATGTTGTTGAGTCTGAAAAGCTAACCTTGGAGAAGGAAAGGAAAGAGAGAAAACCAGTCCCAGAGGCCGGAGGGGCTGGAGCCAGGATCAGAGTCCCTTGGAAGAGGATATTTAGTGCAGCACTAGCTGACCACAGCAGCACCCTGGCTTTGGAAAAGCTGAAGCCGCCTTCAGGAAAAGCAGCTGAGTTTGCATAAATGCCTCTGCTCAGGAAATGGGGTGCAGGGAAGGTGGGGGTGGTTTGGAGCCCAAGGACAGGAGGGGACTCTTCCTGGCGGATATGGGGTCAAAAGAAGGGGCGGAAATGGCCAAGACAGCTGCTGAACATCTGGAGTCACAGAGAATTATCAAGCGCCCTCAAGGACAGTGGGGTGGGAGGGGAGCTCTCTCCTTCCTGGCTCCTTAAAGAGATGCCCCATTGTCTCCCTCTGGCCCGGGATGAAGGACCCAGAGGGAGACAATGGGGCAGCTAACATCCATTCTGGGGTGATAAGGCCCTTCTGAACCTTCAGTCATAGAGAAAGCCTGTAAGAACAGAGAACACACCCTTTAGGCGACATATCTTGTACATGAAGAGGTGAAGGCCTAAATCCTACCAGAGCCTGAAGAAGAGACTTACTAATCCTTACCCAGTACTGCCGCTGGTACCTGGCCTGAGGGAATAGGCCAGTGTCAGGCCCTTGACAGTGGTGAGAAGGGCCATGCTGCTTCTCATAGATCTCTGAGTGGGATCAGATGTAGTCAGAGTTCTCTGGGCAACTCACCATCTTTTTCCTGAGCAGGGTGCAATCTATACCCTTTCTACAGACTGTGAGAGTGAACAGTCTCTCTGTGGGAAATGATCCTGAGTTGTTCTCTAGGCTCTCAGATATTCTTTGAAGGGTTGTTGTTTTGTCAGGGAGCAGCCTCACTTCTGGTTTGGGAATCTCAAAACAGAGTCCTTAGCTATTCTACTAATATCTAGGTTTTGATGTGAAGGGAGTATTTATTATTGTTAATCAAAATTTAATATTCTAATTCAGTCCCCTCGACAAGGATGTTCTTTCTATCCCTCTCCTTGAGTTAGACACTTGGTCTGTCCTTTCTCTACAAACATGTATCCATACAAACCCTGCCCCACCACTTTTCTCTTTTGAAAGGATTTATATATTGAAGATTGGTCCAGAACTTCCCATGTAGCTGAAGATAACCTTGAACATTTGATAACCCTGCTTCTACCTCGAAAGTGCTTGGATTATGGATTATAGATGTATACCTCCATACTGTTTACACATTGAGGAACAAATGTGGAGTATTCTGCACAGTAAGCAAGTAATCCACCACCTGAGCCACACCTCCAGCCTCTTATTTTGTTATTTCTGTTTACAGGAATAAATCTGACGTACACTGCAGCTTGCTTTTCTTGACAATGTATTATGTGCTTCACTGTTACATCAGCAAAGTACTGTAAAACTGGCTTGGGGGTTCTGCTAATGTGTCAAGTGTCCCCAACCAACTTCTAGAGATTTCCCCTTGGCTAAAATGGCTGCAATGTACACAAGTAAATTGTTTTCCAAGGACTCTTGCTTCCAGATGCCATGTGATTTGTTCAACCTCTTTTGCAAAAATCCTTTTCAACCAGTGAGTCTTTCCCACTCTGGAAGAGAACTGGTATCTGAAAGCTGTATACCACCTAAGACAGCTTTAAGCTTTTACTGTGTATCTATCCTGTGTGTATAGATTTCATGACCACTGTTATGACCACTGACTAGAACAGCAGCAAAAGCCATTCTGCCCTGTCAGTCAGAAGCCCATTGGGAATCCTTCCCCTGTAGAGGACCTGGGTACCCTCCTGGTGATCCTGGTGATCAGATAGAAACTATGGTCTGGACTTAGGACCATGAACCCTGGGTCTTGAAAAAAAAAAAAAAACTGGACTGAGGCTGGATGAAAGGTAGATCACTGCCTTTTTTTTTCTTTTGTGCTTTTTTGGGTTTGTTTTAATTTTAATTACATTGATTGATTGAGTGATTGAGAGAGAGAGAGAGAGAGAGAGAGAGAGAGAGAGAGAGAGAGAATGAGAATATGTATGTTGGGGAACAGGTTAAAAGACAATTTGTAGGAGTCAGTTCTCTGTTCTACCACTTGGGTACCTGGAATTAAACTCAGGTCATTCTCCTTATTAGCAAGCACCTTTATCTCCTGAGCCATGTCACTGACTTAGTTTGGCCACTGGGGACCTAAAAACCAATAACAGAGGCTGGAAAAAAAAATCCAGCCAAGAAGATTCCAGAAAGAGACTTGCAAAGGGACTCAACTCCATGAGGGGTGCCAAGATCCCCATAGTGCAAAGCCTATCCTCGTTTTTCCTGGCTTCTTGAAAGGAACTATAAGAAAACTGGAGGGTGGTGAGGCTTTACAAGTTGCTACAGAAGGAGTAGTCCATGCTAAGCCCATGCAGAACTGAGGCATGATCTGGGGCTCCTGCTCAGCACCCTGTCACCTTCCTCTCACTAAGCCTCCCACAGTCAGAGAGCTTCAATGGTAGAAAGTGGGGACTTCACAGGGAGATTGAAGTCAGCCTGCTCTGTAGTCATTCCTTGCCCTGGAAACTCACTGAAAAGTGAGCTATGCTCCAGAGTGATCTCTAAGAACGAAGTCTGGTCTGGAGCTGAACCCTCTGTACCCAGGTAGTGTTCACAGAGGCAAAGTGCTTCCTGGCTCAGATGCGGGCCTTGTGCCCTCCTACCTTGGACTTGCAACTCGAACCTCCCCGAATGGTAGACTGAAAGCTGTCTTCTGCTGATAAGTGAGCATTCAGGACTGTGAGCTCAAGGATGACCCCAGTCTGGGGAGTATAAGGCTTTATAGCCATCTGAGCCCTGGGGGTGGGGGGAGAGGAGAAAGCCAGCTCAGAGCCAAGTGTCTCTTGAAATGAAGACAGGCCTTGGTTACGCAGGGCCATCACAGACCCACATCTGTGTCCTACATGATAGAGAAAAGACTATGACCAGAACCTCTATCACTGTCTGGCACATGGTTGGGGGAGGGGGCTCACCTACCCAGCTTGCTTTGAGCTGATCTAGGTTATGGCCCTCGCGGGTTCTTCTAAGTCACTTGCACAGATTAAAAATGGCAACTGTCCCGGAGCTGATCCCAGGGGACCCTGAAACCTGTCCCATCCCCCAGGCACTCTCCATTCTCAGCATTAGCCCCAGTCTAGGACAGCTGCTCCAGGGCTGCAACTCCCTCCACCCCATTCACCCAGATCCCAGGTGGGGTCAAGCCCACTATAGCCTGGACGGTAGAGGCCAGCATCCCAGGGCAAACCCAGACAGACCTTCTACTTAGTTTCCTCTCTTCTTCTCCTCTATGGGACTTATCTATCATGGATAGGAGAATAGAGAAGGAACAGACAGAAGGGACAAAGGAGAGGGAAGGAAATTGGTGTGGAGGGTACCCCCACCTTGGTTCCTGTGGCTTCTGTATCTGGGACTTCAGGGTTGAGCCACCCACACAAACACACATCACACGTCCCAGGAGGTACCTGGTCCAACACAGGATCTGTGGGCCAAGAAAATGTCTGGGTCTTTGTCCCGAACCTACCAAGCACAGGCAGTGAGGCAGAGAGGGTGAAAGACAGAGGAGAAGCTCTGATGTTTACCACTCCAGCTCTGGGGATAGGCACAAACTACAAGGCTGTCTAATTTCACCACTTTGAAACTGCTCTGAGCTGGGTCAAAACAGGGTGCATGTGCCTGTCTGGATCCTCCAGCTGCCCAAAGTGACCATAAGGCCTTTGAGGTGCTAGAATGAAGATACAGGAAGTGGGTGGCATCCCACCCCTGGCCCGATTCCACCCTTCTCAAGGCAAGTAACCTTGACAATGAGCTTGGAGTCCAGTTCTGAAGCCATCCCTCCGTGCCTGACCCCTTGCACTTTCCAGGTGTATCTGGGTATGATGGCCAGGAGAAAGGGAACTTGTCTGCCATTACTGGCCTAATCCCACCTCCAGTTTATTTTTCTCAGGTTCCAGTAGGGGCAGCAGTAGGTCAAAATATTAGTCCCTCTCTCTCAACTGAAAATAGCAGGCCTTGGCCTTAGGAAACCCCCAGTGTGGGAGGTAGAAAGGAAGAAGAGCAAAGGAAGGGAGGCTTCTCAGGAAATGCCTGGGTGCTCTGACTGCACTAGCAGAGACTCTTGGTCATTGGCTCAGCCCTTGGAAAGTCCCAGGCAGGGCCTGTGGACCTGGGTGGGGATAGTGCCAGCAAGGCAGCATGAGTTCCTTACACAGGCATCAGATGCCAGGGTGGGCTTCCTCTTCTGCCTGACTGGGTTTCTGCCATGGACATCATCAGAGCAAATGAAGGTAGCTCTTTATTGTGGTCATTCTTTCCTTCTGGCAATAATGATCTGGTACTCCTCCCAACCCCCGCCCCATTTCTTTTTCACTGTCCTGAGAACAGTTTATTCTGCTGATATTTTAATTATTCAGACAGGTCTCATAAAGTCCAGGTTATCTCAAACTTGATCCGTAGCCAAAGATGACCTTGAACTACTAATCTTTCTGTTCTATTTTCCCAGTGAGGTTACAGGTATGTACCACTGCACCTGGATACCAGCAGATGCTTACAAATAAAGGCCCAAGTGAGGGTTTGACCCAAAACGAGACTACATAGAACAGGAAGAGACTGCCTGTAGGAATTAATCTTCAGGGAATGAATCCAGAGAGCCCCAAGGTTGAGGGAAGTTGGGTATTTTGGAGGTATGAGAACAAGGCCGGGGCTGGAGAGGTGGCTCAGTGGTTTAGAGCACTGACTGCTCTGCTAGAGGTCCTGAGTTCAATTCCCAGCAACCACATGGCGGTTCACAACCATCTGTAGTGGGATCTGATGCGCTCTTCTAGTGTGTCTGAAGACAGCTACGGTGTACTCATATAAATAAATAAAAAAAAAGAAATCTTGAGAGAGAGAGAGAGAGAGAGAGAGAGAGAGAGAGAGAGAGAGAGAGAGAGAACAAGGCCAGTGGGTTATAGAGAGACCTAGGATTGGGATAGAAAGATAGGCAAGACTTGCAGACCAGGGCACAGAGCTTGAGAGGAAGCTGCCACTAAAGGTACTAGACTTCGTTGTATTTCAAAAAGGTAATTGACCTTCTTTCTCTGTGCAAACTGATCTGATTGAACTAACTTCAGGTTTAAGATATTTGGAAGAAGAATGCATCCATAACTGAGCATACAATTTATTTATATTGTTATAAGTCCTCTGTAGATTAAAGTCTATGGTTAGGGGATGGATGAATCTCAGTGGTAGAGTGCTTGACTACCTAAAAAGATATATTAAAGTTCTATGCATTTTTGTTTTGCTTGTTTTTTTTGTTTTGTTTTGTTTTGTTTTTTTGTTGTTGTTGTTTTGTTTTTCGAGACAGGGTTTCTCTGTGTAGCCCTGGCTGTCCTGGAACTCACTCTGTAGACCAGGCTGGCCTCGAACTCAGAAATCTGCCTGCCTCTGCCTCCCAAGTGCTGGGATTACAGGCGTGCGCCACCAACCAGCTTGTTTGTTTTTGAGATAGGATCTCACTGCATATAACCCTAAGTGGCCTTAGGAACTTGTTATGTTAACCAGTCTAGTCTCAAACTCTGAGACTTGCCTGCCTCTGAGTTAAACAAGGAGTTTAAACATCTGATATTGGTGCCTATGAGATTCTTGGATGTTCCCTCTTACTGCTCTAGGAACAAATGCACAGCTATGGTGTGGCGGGATGGAGAATCTAGTAGTTAATGCTGAGAGAGGATCAGAAAGGTATGAGAATGTTTAAGACTAGACAATCAAGGGATGTGATTCTGGATTGGAGATGCACTTTATCTAGTAGAATGCTTGTCAATCTCAGGGTTCAATACTTAGTACCACTAAGAACTGAGTATGGTGGCGTATGCCTTTAATCCTAGCACTTGGAAAGTAGAGATAGGATGATCTGAAAATTAAGGTCATCTTCAGAAGTTTGAGGATAATCTGGTCTTTATGAGATCCTAGCTTAATTTTTTTTTTTTAATGCATAGTTTCTCTGTGTAGCTCTGGCTGTCCTGGAACTTGCTCTGTGGACCAAGCCAGCTTCAAACTCAGAGATCCACCTACTAAATGCTGCCTCCTGAGCACTGGAATTAAAGGCAAGCACCACCATCACCCAGCTGTAAAAAACCAACCAACCAACCAAACAAACAAACAAAACAAATAAACAAAACCAAAATTTAGGACTGGAGACATAGCTCGGTGAGTAAGAACACTGGCTACTCTTCCAGAGGACCCAGAATCAATTCCCAGAAGCCACAAATTGATTCACAACTGTCTGAAATCCCAGAGGAATCCAGTGCCATTTTCTGTCTTCCTTGGGCACAAAGCATGCATAGTGAACAGACATACATGCAGACAAAACTTATACATGTTAAATAAAAATAAATCTAAAACATGTTTTTGTTTGTTTGTTTTTGAGACAAAGTCTTACTATGTAGTTTGGCTGTTCTGATCATTCTGTAGATCAGGCTGAGCTCAAACTAACAGAGAGATGTTTGCCTCTGCCTCCCAAGTACTAGGATTGAAGGTGTGTGCCACTACACCAGGCTTAGAAAAATTTTAAAAAGTTTAAATATACAAAAACCTAAGTGTTTAAGAAAGATGGCATGATTCATGGTGCCAACAGGCTTCTGAGGTTGATGTCTTGACATCTGTACTGGCTTAAGTGCTGGCCTAAGTTCTCAGATGGACACTAAAGGAAGACCAAATTCAAATGCTTCTGGAATTTTCAGGGAGTAACTCCTAGCAAAATCAAACTGGCTGAGAAAGCAGCTAAAAAGTACAGAAGGATATCTGTAGAAAGCAGGACACTGTGCAATGTAACAGTCTTGGGGGGTAAACATGATAGACATCGAGGAAGTTTAAATGGCTATTTTAAAGTGTGTATAAAGAGTGTGACAAGAGGATCTAAGGCAGTGGTCCTCAACCACCCTAATGCTGTGACCCTTTAATACAGTTTCTCATTGTGATAACCCCAATCATAAAGCTATTTTCATTCCTACATCATAACTGTAATTTTGTTATGTTGTGAATGTAAATATCTGATAGGCAGGATATCTTACATGTGACCTTGTGATAGGGTCATTCAACCCCCAAAGAAGTCCCAACCCACAGATGAAGGCTGCTACTCTAAGGTGTGACCTAAGTGGGAGTGAGAGGAAGTAAAGAGGAGGGGCTCACAGGATATTTCTTAAGTTAATGTAAGATGGCCTTCTGGCATCTCCAAGGGGAGAGAAAATGGTGTGAGTCCTTTACCATTGCACACAACCACCTCTGACACTGTTCACAGCCACTGCTATTTTCACCTGCCCCATTCATGCTGTCAATATCATCTCCATTGATAAAACCAAAACTCACCATTCATTCATTCATTCATTCACTCATTCATTCATTCATTCACTCATTCATTCATTCATTCATTCAAGAATATTCTCTTGGTCAAGAGTTATGCTTTAAGCTGGGCGGTGGTGGCGCACGCCTTTAATCCCAGCACTTGGGAGGCAGATGCAGGCGGATTTCTGAGTTTGAGAGTTTGAGACTAGCCTGGTCTACAGAGTGAGTTCCAGGACAGCCAGGGCTACACAGAGAAACCCTGTCTCGAAAAAAAAAAAAGAGTTATGCTTTATAATTCAGTTCTCTGGTCATATCAGTGAGAATTCTGGTTAGGGTTTTTTGTTTTTGTTTGTTTGTTTTGTCAACTCGACACGACACAAGGTAGGGTCATTTGGGAAGAGGGAACCTCAACTGAGAAAGTGCCTTCATCAGATTAACCTGTAGGCAAGTCTGCAGGGCATTTTCTTGCTGAATGGTTGATCCTGGAGAGGACAGTCCACTGTAGGCAATGCCACCTCTTAGGCAGGTAGTCTTGAGTTGTATAAGAAAGCACAGTAAACTGGGTATAGCAGTGCACATTTTTTACCCCAGTACTTGGAAGGCAGAGGCAGGAGGATCTCTGTTAATTTGATGTCAGCCCTGTCTACATAGCAAGTTTGAGACCAGTTAGCACTACACAGTGAAACACTGTCTTGAAAAAAAAAAGGAAAGAGTAGAGAAAAGAAAAGAAGGAAAGATTAAGTGAACCAGAAAGCAGCATTCCTCCATGGCTTCTGCTTCAGTTCCCTCCCTCCAGTTCCCTGCCCTGAGTTTCTACCCTGACTTCCCTTCATGGCGGACCATAAACTATAAGATGAAATAAACTGTTTCCTTCCCAAGTTGAACAGAGATAGAAGCCAAACTAAGACAGTGAGCAACAGAAGTGAGATCTCTACCTTTAAGAATCTACACTTTATGTGGGAAAACAAAAATATACAGAAATATTTAGGATACAAGGCATAGAACAACCCTACTCTTATGATTTTTTTACTCTTGTTTTGCAGTGTTGGATATTGAAGCCAGTACCTAGAACATGTGTGGCAAGCTGTTTACCACTGAGCAACACAGCCTCTGCTCCTAAGGGTCTATCTAAAAGAAATTAAATGTGTTTATACAGACTTGTCTCAGATGTTGATAGCATGGATCATAATTCCTGAAACTAGGAAAACCCAAGTATCCATCTACTGGTGACCAATAAATAAGCTACATTTTCTATAAAATGGAAAGAAAAACACCCCAGAAATATTCTGCTAAGTGAACTAGCCATGCACAGAAGACTGTGTGTGGAGCCAAGGTCGGTGTCACAGGTCTACAACTCCAACTCCTGAGGGGGCTGAGGCAAGAGAATGAAAGATCAAGATCTGCTTTGACTACAGCGTGACTTCAAGGACAATTTAATTGACTTAGTGAAACCCTGTCTCAAATAAATAAGAGGAAAGAGGGTTTAGGATGTAGCTCAGTGATAGAGCACTTGCCTGGTGAGAACAAGGTTTTGGACTGAATCCTCAGCACTACAGAAAACAACACACACACACACACACACACACACACACACACACACACACACCACACACACACACACACCACACACACAAACCCCAGGACCGTACTAGGCATGATTCTGTTTACATGAAATCTTAGAACTGTAGAATTCTATGACCTGACAGTGGGCATGGTAATGAATTTGTTAAAACTCATAAAACTCATTTGTGCTGTGTTTAATATGGGTGAATATCATATGTAAAAATTAGATTTTAAAATAGATTAATTTTTTGAAAAGACATAAATATTGGTATGTGTGGGGGGCTGGAGAAATGTTTCAGTATTTAAGAGCACTTGTTTTTACAGAGGACCTGGGTTCAGTTCTAAACACCTACATGGTGGCTCAAAACTGTCCAGGGGATCCAACACCTTCTGATCTCCACTGGCTCCCACACACATATAGTATGCATACATATACTCAGGAACATACACATAAAATAATATTTTTTAAAAATTACTTTATGTATATGTGTTGTGTCCTCATGCATCTCTATGCACCATACTCATGTAATGCCCTCAGAGGCCAGAAGAGGACTCAGAAGCCTCTGGGACTGCAGTTACAATAATTGTGGGCTGCCATGTGGGTGCTGAGAATTGAGAATGGAAGGGCAGCCAGGATTTTTTTTTTGACATGGTTTCCCTGTGTTGCCCTGGCTATCCTGGAACTCATTCTGTAGTTTAGATTGTCCTGGAACTCACAGAGATGATCTCCCTTTGTCTCCCAAGTGCTGGGATTAAAGGCATATGCTACCACCACCAGGAGCACAAATCAGTGCTCTTAAACACTGAGTCATCTCCCCGGCCTCAATATTTTTAAGAGATGTAAAAAAAATTGCAAGAGAAACCATGAGGAAAGGAAGGCAGACATAAAGGTAAGATGTGGAGGCTGTTTGGGAGCAGTCTTACCCTATCCCAACAAAGGAGTGGGTTCTTTTCCTCCCTATGTTTTCCTTCCTACTTGTAGAGCATGTGTCGTGTATTAACTCAGAGTAGAGACCTGGGATCACCTGGTGACCCTCTTAGTAAGGGGAACAAGCAATTCCAGACTTGAGCTCTATGTCAAAGTGCTCACAGGTGCCTCTTCCTTCTCAGGGTTAGGTCAGGCATACAGAGGTGCGCATAGATAGCAAGTAGGTCCTATGGCAGGTATGAAGGAGAACTAGGAGTCTGGTAGGGGAAAGAAACTTTCATGGACTCTGATAGGAGAGAGACCCTCACAGATCCTGCTAGGGGATGGGGCTTTCATGAATCCTGGTAGGGGAGTTGGTTCTCTCAGGTCTTGGTAGGGCCAATGTAGTGAAGCAAATTTTGTGCATGGTGTCTTCCACCTCCTCCAAGGACTACTGTCTCCTAGGTTAGGGTTCAAACTCTTAGGTTAGAGTTAGCCAGTCTTAGGTCCTGGAGTGAGTGTGGGAGAAAGGTTCTCATGGCTTTCAACACTCCACTGGATTGTGTTTGGCTGGCCTACTCCCAAGGGCAGTGGGCTTGCTTTGAGTAGAAAGGTCTAGATGCAAATCCAGTTAGGTAGACATGACCAGCCAGGCCCTGGTTTCTCCCACACATTTGTGATGCCTCTCTCAGGAATGGGGACTGGGTATGGGTGTCAGTGATTGTATTTTTCCTGGATATGTGGGCAGTTCCACAACTGAACTGGCTTGAGCCCAGAGGCAGCTCAGCAGCTGGGGTATCCCTTTGCCATTCCATCCTTTCACTCTCAGAGCCCTGGCCTGGCTACTGAGGCACTATTAGTTAGCCCTAGGCCCCAGTGACCTTTTCCCCTATGGCCTTGACAGGGTCTGGGAACCTCCGGTCTGGCGTCCTGTGTCTTGCCAAAAGGATGTCCTGTCCACCCCCATCTCTCCACCCTTCTTATTCCTCCCAGGAGCTGCCCAGGGGTGGAGATGGGGATAAGAGGGTGGAGGGGAATTGGAGTCATGCATCCTGAGCCCCCATTTCTCCTGCTGCCTCTTCCCTCTGGGACTTGATGAAGAGGATGAGGCCCCCAGCTCAGTCCCTGGGCACGGAGATCAGACTCCAGTTCTCTCCTAGGTCAGACAGAGTCAGTCTATGAAGCAAAGGCTGGGAGTAGGGGAACAGGAGCAAGAAGGGAGGAAACAGGGAGAGATGATACTGTAACGCTTTCAGCTAGTCCTTTTCCTGAGCATGAGGGTTCAGGAGGATGCCTTTGAGCTCAGTTCGGTTCAGCTCAGATTCCTGAGAAGCCTGTTTCTTGTGGGAAGAGTGAATCAGAAGATGGTCCCAGGGTGGAGAGAGTGCTGAGAGTGCTGTGAATCCTGGAGTATCCCTATTGGGTTAGTATTTGTGGAGAAGAACAAATTGGGCCAAGCAGTGCCCTCCTTTACTTCAAGCTAGTCGGCTCTGGGCACTTCTGTTTGTGCCTCTGTCTTCCTGTGCTTTATTTGTGTGTGCGTGTGTCTGTGTGTCTGTGTGTGTGTTATATAAAACACATACACACATGAGAGAGAGAGAGAGAGAGAGAGAGAGAGAGAGAGAGAGAGAGAGAGAGAGAGAGAGGAGAGAGAATATGAATATATGGAGGATTTGGGTACAGTAAATGTGTGCATTTGATGTGTGTCTCAGCGTTTTCCTGAACCTCAGATCTGTGATCTGTGTGGCCTCCCAGATCTGTGGTTGTGAATGGAATACCAATTCTTTCAGGTCAAGAATGACCAGTGATCCCAGCATGCCTGGATCTCTGGAGGGTGGGGGCTGGACAGCAACTGCTAGGCCCTTTCTCCTGGGCCCTCCCCACTGGGCTTGGTAACCACCTTCTACTCTGGCAGCTCACCCAAGTTAAAAATAGCCCCTGGGCCTCTGGAAGCGGAAGGGGTAGAGGCTGCTGAGATCAGACCAAGAGGGAGGAGGTAGGAGGCAACCTTTAGTGGGTGAGGTGAGGCACACATTCCTTGTCTCAGGCTAGTGCTCCCGGGCCAATTGTCCACATTAGTGAGGTGGGCTCCACATCTGCTGGCCCATCCACACAGTTAAGATCCTTCCAATTTAGGCAGGGGTGTGGGAAGCTGTTCATGAGCCTTGCCCAGCAAGGCAGAGACATCCTTGGTGGTCAGCCTAGTCAGCCAGGCCCTGCTCCAAGCCACAACTCCTCCCAACACCCTTTTGCTCCCTGGGTTTGTTCACTCTTTGAGGGCCCTGTGACTTCCCTGAAAGGAGAAAGGTAGCTTCAAGGACTGACTCAGTCAGGATGTGGGACAAGCAGTCCTCAGGGACACATTCCTCCCTCTGGAAGGGTCTGTGAAGGGCTTTTCTTTTTTTTTTTTTTTTTTGGTTTTTCGAGACAGGGTTTCTCTGTGTAGCCCTGGCTGTCCTGGAACTCACTCTGTAGACCAGGCTGGCCTCGAACTCAGAAATCCGCCTGCCTCTGCCTCCCAAGTGCTGGGATTAAAGGCGTGCGCCACCACCGCCCAGCTTGTGAAGGGCTTTTCTGATCATGCCCCCATCCCTCCATGTATAACTTATATATTATATGCCTACAGGAAAGTGCACATATTCCAGGGATATAGCTTGATAAATGTTCATAAGCCAAAGACATCTTGTTTAGCACCCATAACAGGATGGTGCTATTCTGTGTTTTTATCTGTGTCATAGATGTGGTCTAGTGAACCTACCCATGTATGACTGTGGGGCACATCTCTTCACCTCCACAGGCCATAAGTCCCTTTGGGCATCTGATGGGGCTGCTGTGGTCTCTCCCCGGATGATGCTGACACTGGCAGAGATTTCAGGGACTGTGTGCCCCTCCCCTCAGGCTTTTGACCTCCAAAGTGTGGCCTGGTTTGTCTTTGTGGTCTAGAGTCTCACAAGGAGAAGATGTCTGTCCTTCAGGAGGAATGGCAGATTGTATGTCCCTCTTTACTGGGCTAGGCACACCCAAAGAGGCGCCTGTTCTGGAATACACACCCAGCCTTCCTTCCTCAGGAAAACCTGTGGTCTGATAAGGCCTCCAGCCTCCACCCCGGCACCAGGACCCCCAGGAGAGGAGGAAATGTAGCCTGCCACCTGGGGCTGGGGTCAGGGAGCCTGGTTCTTGATGTTCCACCCTAGTAGAAGGGCATGGTACTTCCCATGGTTCTGGGAAAAGAGAACTTGGACCACCTACACCATGTGGGTTTGGGGCTGTGAAGTAGAAGGGTACCAAACAAGGTAGAATAGCTGCTTGCATGTGTTGCTTAACCAAAGGCAGGGCCTCTAGTCTCCCATAAGTCCTTGACAGAGGCTCCAGCCCCTTCCAGCCCCCAACGTGGGGTTTCCTTGGATGTGAGCCCATCCTGGGTTGGATTTAAGGATGGCAAAATGCCCAGGGGAGAAAACCCTTACTCAGATCTTGCTCTCTGCTCTATATCTGCAGATCTTAGAACCAGGTAAGTCTGGGTTTACAATACAACTTCCACCAAAGGTTCCCCCAGGCACGGGCCTCCCAGTCTCCCAGTAGTAACCAGGATGACTTTTGAGTTCAATTTTGTTTCTTTGCTTTGAGACAAGAAGGGTTTCTCTGTGTAACCCTGGCTATCCTGGAACTCTCTATAGACTAGGCTAG